GAAAGAGAATCAAATCAAAAAAATTAAAGACGAAACCACCCATAGATATAGATTTAGGTGGTGACACGTTTTTATGCATTTTAGCTTTATCTTATAATGCATTTAGGTGGTGAAGCATTTTTGTATATAATGCTGGATCGTTATTTTAAAAAATGTACTTCAGATATATTTTAATATGTTTAATGTATATCTAACATTACTTGTACACAAATTGGACTTAAAATTTTCTTTGTTAAAACATACTTTTTGTGTGTAAAATTGCAAAGAGCTTATGTAATTAGTGAATATGAAATTTAATATCCTTACAAACCCTATTTTTGTGTCATTTCATACGTAAAAAGGTTAATTCTAATTTCATGATCCAGACAAATCCTTATTTATACTTGATTGACTTCAGATTTCAATTTTCGGAATCTCCCCTGAGACGAGATTGCTTTTGTGTGATCGTTATTGATCTAAAGCTTGTATAAATAGCTCTCACATGTTTTTAACAAAAACACAACATGATGAAAAATATTGGCATATCACTTTTTTTTTTACTTCAACAATGTGAATCCTCCTTTTGAATTTAGGATCACACAGGACACCCCTCTTGTAGATCTGAAATCCAAAATAGAGAATCTCTTGAACTACTCAGACGATTGAAGAGTGGTTAAGATTGAGTATCATTCACCCTCGATTGATAACAAAGGGAAGATGAAGTTCACCAATTTTGAGTTGGAGACAGATGAATATTTAAGAGTTATGTGGATTACATTTCACTGTTACACAACAAAAGGATAATTGCAAAATTGAACAACGATATTTTAAATATGTTGAAATTTCCTTTCCCATCTCCTGTTGATGAAATTTCATATTAGATTTATGTTGACAAAAATTTATGTAATGTTACCTATTTCGTGTATCTGATAACAAATATTTATGTTAATTTGTGTTTTTCTCGATCCGAAAAAATTCCTGAAATTGGTGCATGTTGCATTCAGAACGAGTTTGTGATTAATTAGTAATATCAGTGAAGAATATGAATTTTGACATCCAAACAAATACTTGAATATTATGGGAGGTTGACTTTTAGTGTGATGTGGTGGGGGCGCGCGTTCAAAGCCCAACATTCAGAATATTTTTTAATATTTGCTTTGGCGTGTTTCAGGGATAGTTGTGTATTTTGAGGGCTTTGAAATTTAAAATCTAAAATCAAAGGGTCTTTTTAAAATACTGTCAAAGCATGTGAGTAAATCATAGGATATATTAAAAAAATCATATTTTCTTACGTTGCTATGCTTTCTTTACAAAAATCTATATTATATAACTGTTAAAATGGGTTATCCAATCCTAAAAAAATATTATTTATTTATTATTTTTATAATAAAATATTTCATAATATTTATTATTAGAAATTTAATATATAAAAAATATATTAAATTAAATATAGTACATTGTATTTGTGGTAAGTATAATAATTTTGACTTCGCTGACGATGTATCATGCGATAACCTTTTATTTACTAATACATAGAAAATTCTATTTTTCTAAGTTGCATGATCATGTATTTATAGTCTTGGTCCCTTATTGGGAATTGATTCTTTGGTCTCCTACCTTTACTAGGTTTGGCCTAATAGTGAAAAAATAAGGTGAGACACTTCTTGAAGCTAGGGAGTGTGGAAATGGCCGAGGAATCTTTCTAACTTTCCTAAGACATGTCTCAACATGTAACTGCTATTGTTGGACTGGAGCTCTCCCATGTTGAGCTTTGTTCAAAGTCTTACATCAGACAATATATGACATGGACGTATGTCTATAAGTGGCAGTAATTCTCACATTACAATTTGGTTTTGTAAGTTTGACTTAGGGCCAACCATAATTCTTAAGATGATATTAGAATCTAGTTTAAGATCTGTTGGGCCACCTAATATCAGGTTTTTTTCTATCGGGCCATCCATCATTTATATTTGTGCACCATGTCCAATAATGTTGGATGTGAGAAGTGTGTTAAGAATCTTACATCAGAAAAAATATGATCTAAACATATGCTTATAAGTAGGTGTAATCCCCATCTTACAAGTTAGTTTTGTAAGGTTGAGTTAGGTCCAACCATAATTCTTAAAAGGCTTGAGCTCACCCATGTTCTATTGAGTACTCTCTAGAAGCTTAGCACATTATAACCCTAAAGGTCAAAGTTAGTTGATGCAATGGGGACTTGGACCCTTATGAATATACTATTACATGTCCCTCAAACACGGGACTTTTAAGGAAGAAGTGGTTAAGTAAGAAAATAAGGAGGCACATAGTCCCTCAAGCACGAGACATGAACGAGCAAAATGATTAAGTCAGAAATCATTGTGGTACATTGCTCCTCAATTACGAGGCATTTGGGGACGAAGATTTAGAGATGAAGTGATTAGAGATAATATGTACCCTATTTGGGTCTTATAAACATATTAGAGTCTTTATAGACATAATATTGAGGTTTTCATAAACATATTAGTTCATAGTCCCTCAAGTACAAGATCTAGAAGAGTTGTGTAATTTAAGCGAGGTTGTGTCAATTCATAATCCCTTACCTGCGAAGCTTGGAAGGGGAGTCTCCCAAGAAATGTATGGAAGGGTGACTCCCTCAAGCAAGGTCTAGAAGAGTGGGCCCCTCAGGCGAGATCCGGAAGAGAGAGTCCTTTAGAGCACGTGGTGCATTTAATAACGTATAATGATTGAACTGTCTCAGGAAGGTCCAAGTGTCGTATGTCGTCAATCTATTTGTATGCTTATGAGGAGGATTGTTCTTTATGAGGATGATTTCACTCCGTCCATCGTATAGATTTTCATTTTGTTAAGTTTGAGTTTGTTGTAATGTCTTTGTCGGTAAGAGCGACATGCAGGTTAAACTTAAGGCTCATATGAGTCTTATCAGACTCTGTTACATGTTAATTATACTTCAGATAAAGACAATAGTGTCGACCCCGCCAACAATGTATCAGACAAAAGCCTATTATTTACTAATATGTTATTCTTTTTCTGTAACAATATCATGTATTTATACTATTGGTTCCTAGGCCACTCAAATGAACTTGAGTTGTTACAAATGTATTTTACAATATTTTTAAATATTGTATTATTAAAAAAAATCTATTACATATTTTTAAATATAATATATATATATATAAATATAAAGTTGTTTAAATACTATATAGTATAAGTTATACGATATTTTATTTTACTGCTTTATTCTTTAATATAGTTTCATCATTATATGATTTAAAAACATGAAAAATTCTATATCTATCACAAATAGTTTATATTATACTTTCAGTCAAGCATTAATACCATTTAACTTTATTATATTTAATTGTTTATTAAATATTTAAAAATTTAAATGCTTCCAATACATTTTAAGCTAAGAATAACTCTACCAACTTTTTGAAATAAGAATTAAGAATTCACCTCCAAAAATAATCATAATCTACATTAATAAGAGTATATATATATAATAATACTATATTAAAATATTTTTATAAAAGTTTCAATTCAACTTACCAACGGAAAAAATACATTTCTCAATATTTTGAAATAATATTGAAGAGAACACAAACACTTCACAAAGGGAAAATGATTACAATGACTCTATTCAAGGGAACATAGTTAAAAAGAAAAATTAGTACTTATAAATAGAAAGAAGTGAAAAGTTATAAGTGATTAAGTAGCTAGCCAATGTAAAAGTGGACCCTAACAGCGATCAAGAATAAGCAAACAAGACCAAAGTAGAGGAGAGAGTGAACAACAATGGCAGCAGCACTTGTCTGAAAGTTTCCAAACTCGATGCACCTTGAACGCCCTGGAACCTGAAATAACAGCCCCGGCGTCAACAGAACAAACAGCATCACAGTCACAACAATAGACCCCCAGTTAAACATTGTTGTTATTAATTCCACCTTCAATGAAATGCTATGCAATGCAAACTAATGTGTATATAATTAAGTTTATATAGTATGGTAATATTGGTACGTATGTATCAAAAATATTTGTTAATTAATAAGTGGGTATGGGAGGAGGCTTCTATGGTTAAGCTACTGTGGATTCACTTCCATTTTCACGTGATGTTTGTAACAAAGATTGAACTTGGATTTGGGTTAAGAATAACTTGCTTCACATGATAATAGTAGAAACTTAGATAAGTTTCCACCATATTCTTGTTGTGTGGCTTTCAAGAAAGGAATTAGCTTGACCTTAATGGGCTTAAGACTTTTTGTCTACTTGCATAGCAATCTTCCCTATATCCATCCCCTCAAATATACCTTCCATTCTGTTTGTTAGTTCTATGAAAATTTAAAAATACACTTTTTATCTTTTTAAGTAAACAAGTTAAAAATATTGGATAGTATCTGATGATGAATAAACACTGTTTTCTGATGCAGCTTTCTTTTCTCTATTTGAATCAATATTTCTGGTTTAGAGTGATGAGTTTCACTATTCACTTTCTACATGGTATCCTTTGCAAGTTTCGATCATTCACGCTTCCGTAATTCATCTTCTTCGATTCAAAACCTCACTCTTTGCATGCATCGCTAATTGTCTCACACTGATTCCTTCAAGGTTCAACAATGGAGTCCGCAGAAAATCAAGAATCGGTGATCAAAGATTAAGCTCAAACTCATGACGTTTCCACAGCGTTTGCGTCGACCAAATCCAACAATTCGTTCAGATCGAAACTTTCAATCAAGCTGCAAGAAAATAATCATCTGCTCTGGAATCAACGAGTAGAAGGAGCGATTCTAACGCAAAAGATGCACAAGTTTGTTGTTAATCCACAAATTCCTTAGAAGTATAATTATGTGCAAGATCGTCTCACAAGTACGTTCTCTGATGAATATGATGCCTGGATTGTGCAAGATCTAGCAGTTTTCATTTGGTTGTTGTCTACAATTTTGGAATCGGTACTTCCTAGGGTTCTTGCGTGCAAACACGCCTTTGAAATTTGGGACAAGATCCATCAGTACTTCGATGCACAAATGAAGGCTAGGGTTTGCCAATTGAGGGTTGAACTCAAATCCACCAAGAAAGGGAACAAATCCATCATAGAATTTGTGTTGCGAATCAAAGCTATTGCAAATTCATTGCTAGCGGTTGGTGATTCCATTACGAAGCAAGACCAGATTGATTCGATATTGAATAGATTGCCTGAAGAATATAGTCCCTTTGTTATGCAGATGTATGGCTGCCCTATTCCACACATGCTCTGTAATGTTGAAGCTTTGCTCTACGTGCAAGAAGCGCAATTGGACAAATTATGTTAAGAGTTAGATGCAACAAATGTGTTTGCCAATATTGCTCACACAGGCCACAGAGAAGATAGTTCCAGAGAAACTTACTCAGGCAACTGTGGAAGAGGTCACGGATTTAATCGTGTTCGTAGCCGTGGCAGAGGAATAACTACTGAAAATCGCCGACGTGTCAATTATGTGGCAAGTATGGTCACTCAGTTGCCACCTGTTGGCATCGATTTGATGAGAACTTTATGCCTCAAAACCCAGCTAATTCTCAATCTGTTTAGCAAACAGTTCTACACATAATCAAGAAGCCAATCAATACATTGCACAGAGCTCTAAGGCCATGGTTGTGATGGCAACTACAAGTTGTCCATCTTCCTATACTCAAGAATATTCACTCCCTTCTGAGCTGGAGCCTCAAGTTTGGTTCGCCGACTCAGGTGCCTCCCACCACTTAACCCCTTATGCTTTTCATTTAGAAAACAAGAAATCATATGTTGGTTCCAATAGAGTTTATGTAGGAAATGGCCAAACTCTTACCATACAATCCATAGGTTCCTCACAATTTTACTCTAAATTAAATCCAACTCATAAGTTAACTCTTACCAATATCCTACATGTACCCTCTATTACTAGGAATATGTTATCTGTTTCAAAATTTTCTAATGATTACAATGTTGTTTTTGAATTCCTCCCTGATAAATGCTACATTAAATCTCAGGCTTTTCTAAACAAGTTCTTGTTTAAGAAGTCCTGGATGCTAGTGGCTTGTATCGCTTCTCTGAGCTATGCCTAGAGCCAACATATTCACACAGTCTGCCTAACACTTTGAGTACTTCTACGGGTATTCAAAGCTTTTTTGTTTCTAATTCTATTTATCATAAGCTCAATTCTTGTAATATTCATACGCTTTGGCATCATAGGTTAGGCCATGCCAATTTTAATTATGTTGCTCATGTTCTCAAATTGTGTAACATTGCTGCTTCTAATAAACAAAGTTCTGAATTTTGTAATTCATGTAGTCTTGATAAGGCACATAGGTTACATGGTCCACTAACCAACACTATATATAAAAAGGCATATGATATGATTTACACTGACTTGTGGGGTTCCTCACCTAATCCTTCTAGCTCTGGGTATAGATATTACATTGTTTTTTGTAGACGGTCACACCAGATACACAAGGCTATATTTTCTCAAACAAAAACCTGAAGCTTTACATGCTTTCAAACTGTTTTATCAATTTGTTCTAACTCAGTTTAGTGTCAAAATTAAGTCTGTCCAATCTGACTTTGGTGGAGAATTTAGACCGTTTACGAAATTCTTGACAGAGCTACGGATAACACATAGACTAACTTGTCCTCATACATCCCACCGAAATGGATCCGTTGAGAGGAAACATCGACATATAGTTTTAATGTGACTTATAATGTTAGCTCACGCGTTTATACCTCTAGCATATTGGGATCATAGTTTCTCCACTTCAATCCATTAAATAAACAAGCTTCCTACTACAGCTTTGACCACATCTCATCCCGTTTCAGGCTCTTTATGGTAAGCATCCTGACTATACATACCTAAGTGTTTGGTTGTTCTTGTTTCCCCTGCTAAGGCCTTTTAACAAACACAAGCTTTAAATGAGAAGTCATAAGTGTATATATTGGGGATTGTCTCCTCAACATAAAGGCTTTAAATGCCTTAGTAAAGAGGGTAGAATTTTTATTTCCAAGGATGTAACATTCAATGAATGAAATTTTCCCTACTCTAAATTGTTTTCAGCTACTGATACAACTACTAATTCTCCGAGTACAAGCAACACATCCTGTCCTCTTAACATATCCTCGAGTCTTATACCTACTGGTACTGTTCCTACAGCCTCTATGCATTTTATACCACAAAATTCCAACTACAATATTCAACCTATTAACTCAGTTGCACCTAATACTCCAAATCAATCTCAGTCTAGTGAATCAGCCTTTAGCCAAAAATTTTTGCCATGTGGGGTATCACTCAGAACATTTGAGCCAGCCTGTTGTTTCTTCCAATGCTTTTGACCTGGCTGCTTCTGACCATAGGTCTCTCCACTCAGCTAATGTTCCCACTATTCTTGTTCCATCGGTTCACAAGCCTACTCTTACTAAGGTACCTGATGCTAATCTAAGTCCCTTATGTTGACAGTACAGAACCGAGTGCTACACATTATCTAGAGGATATTAATGTTGTAAGCACCCCTAGAGAAGTCACGAGTCTGCAGGGTAATGGACATATACCTGCCACTGATGTGTCAAATTGTCCTGAGAATAATAACTCTGATAAAATACATAAACTTGTTGTTGATTCACTTATTCAACACACATGCTCAAACAAAGGCCAAAGTACCACGTTTTGTTCTAACAAGTTAACATTATCTTCCTGCATTCTTATATCTGATTCCTTTAACTCACCATCTATTATTTCCAGTAAACCCATTGTTTCTCTCCTAGAAAACAACCACCTTATGCTTACCAGAGCCAAAACTGGTAAGTCCAAACCCAAAGCCTTCATAGCACACACTGAATCTGAGCCAGCTAGTGTTAACCAAACACTCACCAAACCTGAGTGGGTCACAGCTATGAGAGATGAGTTTAAGGCATTGCAAGCAAACAAAACCTGGAACTTAACTACCTTGCCTCATAACAGAAAAGTTGTAGGGTGTAGATGGGTATTTAAACTCAAATAAAATGCCGATGGTACTGTCCTCAAACACAAAGCCAGGTTGGTTGCCAAAGGCTTCCATCAAGAACATGATTTTGACCACACTGAAACATTTTCTCCTGTGGTAAAACCTACCACCATTAGAGTTATACTAACTCTTGCTATTACATACAAATGGGATATTCAACAAATAGATGTTAACAATGCATTCTTAAATGGAAATCTTCAAGATGAAGTCTATATGCTATAATCCTCTGGGTTTATGAGTGCTGATAAAAACTAGGTCCGTAAACTTAACAAAGCAATTTATGGTCTCAAGCAAGCCCCAAGGGCTTGGCATGAGAAATTAACACAGCTCTTCTTTACTTTGGCTTCACCGCCTCCAAGTGTGATAACTCTTACTTTGTCTACTACAAACAAAGTATTACTTTATATGCCCTGGTCTATGTAGATGACATTCTTATAACGAGCTCTATCTCCTCTCTAATTCATGATCTCATCAACAAGTTGCACGTAACTTTTTCCTTAAAGAAGCTGGGAAGACATAGATATTTTCTAAGTATTGAAGTAAAATTCTGTAACAATGGCTCTATGTTTCTCACACAGACAGAATACATTAAGGATCTGCTGTCTCGGGAAAAAATGACTGATGCCAATGTTGTATCCACCCCTATGCTAAGTACTTGTAAACTGAGTAAGCATGGTACTAATCATATGTCTGATCCTCAATTATATCGATCTATTGTTGGTGCCTTATAGTATGTTACATTGACTAGACCAGATATTGCTTATAGTGTGAACAAAGCCTATCAGTTTATGGTGTTCCCTCTTGATACACATTGGTTTGTGGTTTGACGGTTGTTAAGATATCTTACTGGTACAACAAAGTATGGTTTACTGCTTTCTCCTTCAGTGTTAGCCCAAAAATTCTCTTTTCGTGCATAAAGCGACTCGAACTTGGCTAGTGACCCCGTTGATAGGAGATCCACCTCTGGCTCATGCATCTTTTTTGGTCCAAACTTAGTTGTTTGGAGCTCTAAGAAGCAGTCTCTCGTGACATATTCTAGCACAGGAGCAGAGTATATAGCACTAGCACACTCAACGTTTGAGTTACTATGGTTAGTGAAATTCTGGCACACACAATATTAGAAGTCAAGATCGATGTCTCAACAACACATAATGTCACGAAAACAAGCTTAAAGAACACAAACTTGCTAAAACAGAAAGATCGTGCAAAAAAGTAAATTGCAGAAACTTAAAGAACACAATCACTTGTTAACCCAGTTTAGTGCAACTCACCTACTCTAGGGGCTACCAAGCCAGAAAGGAAATCTACTATAAATAGTATCAATTTGAAGCTAAACAATTCCAGTTTACATTTCTCACTTAATCCCTACCCAAGGCAACTTCTACCTAGGCACCTCCTACATATGAGAACCCCTCTCACTCCCAATCACCGCAGTGATATCTACAGCCACAAACTAGTGACTAGAAACTACAACCATAATTCTTGTGACTAGAATCAATACTCCCAATCCCAGGTAATGTCTCAAGAAACCAAAAAGAAGAACACTCTTCTAAAACGCAATACTTGGTTTGATTAAAAGTTTCACTAAGAATAATACTAAACTCTTTGCTTAAAAGCTTAGAGGAGAATAATAACTTGATAAACAAGTAACAATCAGACAACTCAAATCCATCAAAGATACATGAGAATGTACAAAAAACACACGGAGAAGAACTTAAGGAACTATCAAACCTTAAACCCTTATTTTTCACAAGGTTTTATAATAAAATATCCTTCTTAAAAACTAGGTCTTGGGCGACTCTTTATATAGACTTCTGCAGTTGGGCTTTGGACTCTTTAATCAAATATAATCTTCAGCTCTATATCCCTGCAGAATCGTCTCCACAAAAATAGAAACAAAAACAAATCCTTCAAATATTTCCTAAAAAGTCTCAAAGATCCTTTTTATGAAACAAATCAAATCTGCAATTGCTCCTATAAATCCTTGATTGCTTGCGTCTGTTATGAGTACTAGAAACCTCCAGAATCTCATATTTTTCAATAAAATCTTCAAGGATATTATCCAACTGTATTGTCATGATGTTCTGTTGCAACATATTACAATATCTGATAGAACATCTGTCAAATAAGTACCAACGAACTCTGTTGTACCACCTGATCAAGATGTTATGACATATTGCTTAACATTAGGCTGCAATACACGTTTCTCCCAATGAAACATGTTTTGATAAAATTGTTGTCAACTCTTTATTTTACCAAAATTGTTGCCAAACATAAAATCACAGACCTAACAATCTCCCCCTTT